CAACCATATGCAAATTATTTAAAGCTAGAAAACTTTTTTAATTTTTTCTTTTTTTGCCATCAATACAGTGTCATGAAGTAGCAGAATTAGACCAAGAACAGCATGACGTTATCAAAGACACTGGAACAGGAAAAACAATCTTTATGGTTTCATTCAACACACTCGAACAAGAAATGCAATCTTTATGATCAGAGAACGGTGTGTCTTCATTCAAGACACTGGAACAAGAAATGAAATCTTTATGATCAGTGAATTGTGTGGCTTCATTCAAGACACTGGAACGAGAAACGCAATCTTTATAATCAGAGAATGGTGTGGATTCATTCAAGATACTGTGACAAGAAATGCAATCTTTATGATAGGTGAATAGTGTGAATTCATTGAACACACTGGAACATGAAATATAATCTTTATGATCAGAGAATTGTATGGCTTCATTCAAGGCACTGGAATAAGAAATGCTATCTTTATGATCAGAATGCTATTCGAGCGAGCAATGTAAATGCAGAAGGATGTATATGTACGTTTCATTCCTTACAGACACGTATTTGACAAGGTAAGACATTTCCTAGAAGCAGAGCTAGTAATTGATTCAATATAATCACTCCATTCGATTACTGATTGATTGGTTCGTTTTCTACGACTATCAATCTTTTGAATGCTATTTAAAGCCGAAAAATATTTTAGATTGTTAGTTATTCAGTTAGAAAGAGAACAGGTTAAAGAGCCCCATTGTATCTTCCCAACTGAGCAATGGTGAAAGGAAAAGATCATTCAGGCCTTCAGTAATGGTATCAACTTCATACTCTGGCTTCCATCTTCAAAGTCCATTCAAGAACCATCAAGAGAACAGTGAATAAGTTTAAAAAAGAGGGAACAGTAGAGAGGAAAATTGGATCAGAAGGTCACAATGGTGTTAAAAACATCTCGGAGAATTCCGGTAAGATATCTTTAATCATTTCTAAGATACAACGGTTCAAAACTTAATCAAACAAGTGGACAAGTGTTTCTGTTGCACCCGGTATAGTATTATTTATATAGTAAATATTCATTGGGGTTTTCATTTTTAAAAGTTGTTGCCTTATTCCCCACCTCCCACAAATTGTACATATGGGGACTAGTTAAGACAGGGACGTACAACCCGCGACCCACTTATTATTTTCATGCAACCCACTGCAACCTAAAATCTTTAGTTATATTTTTATTTACTTTAGTAACGTATGTCGAGACAATTCTTCTCAGATTGTGCTATTAGGTTCACTTCCTCATTGCAGTAAAAGGAGAAGGGGTCAAAGGTCTTTGCCGAGACACATCGACTGGTACGTGGGGCAAGAGCCAGAGTTAAATAAAAATAATTATTTAGCTTATCTAGGAAATTGTTATGCATGTAGAGTAATACACACTGTAGTGAAAAAATTCTTTTTGTGCATGAAAAAGATCAAAACTGCTGAAATAGTTTGAATAATTACCTTTTATCTAACATTCTTAGAATAAAGAATACTACCATAAAAACACATATTGACAATATTACGTACATTATTTACATTATTCGGTCTATTGTCCTCATCTTTGTCGCCATATTTATTACAATGTTTCGGCCTTTCAGTATCTGTCTATATTTCTGAGATGAGGTATTATGTACACTATTTACATTATTCGGACTATTCTCCTCATCTTTGTCGCCATATTTATTACAACATTTCGACCAATCAGTATCTGTCTGTATTTCTGAGATGAGGTATTATGTACACTATTTACATTATTCGGACTATTGTTCTCATCTTTGTCAACATATTAATTAAAACGTTTCGGCCTTTCAGTATCTGTCTATATTTCTGAGATGAGGTATTATATACACTATTTACATTATTCGGACTATTCTCCTCATCTTTGTCGCCATATTTATTACAACATTTTGGCCAATCAGTATCTGTCTATATTTCTTAGATGAGGTATTATGTACACTATTTACATTATTCGGGCTATTGTCCACATCTTTGTCGCCATATTTATTACAACGTTTCGGCCGTTGTACGCTCCGGCCTTCTTCAGGTGGTTGGAATGCCGAACTGAACCCTTTATTTCGCTAGTGCTATGTTTAATGAATGTCAGTTATTAGTTATCTCCTGCTAATTCCTCTCTCCAAGTTATCCACTGCCTTTACCGGGTATTGAACTCACACTCATTGGGTCCTGTCACTGGATCTAACACCTTTATCCACTGTGCCATGTGCCCTTTGTGTATGAATTTCTGTTAATGTACATAATACCTCATCTCAGAAATATAGACAAATACTGACAATATTTTAAAAGGAAAACAATGTCAAAAATAATTTATTTTATTTATTATTTAATTTTCATTCTCCCACAACGTATAATTTCTTTTTTTTTTTACTCTCAATAATACAGTATTTTTTTGTTATTATATATATATTTGTTATTAAAATTTGATATTCACAAAGTTTTGAACTTTTTAAAAGTATATTTATATAAGGTACTTTTGTGGCCTGGTGTATATATCTAAATTTCAAAATTGGCCCATTAAGAAAAAAGATAGGAAAATGCTGAGTTAGAACTCTGTGGTATTATAGTGGATGTAGTAAGAATGTGGTGTTTTGGTGCCATGAAGATTGTATAGTTTGTTTGGGTCAGTGATTGTGGCTTAGCTAAGTTTAAAATAAGACAGACTGATGACCAGCCTTCCCACCCCGTTTTGGCCTTGTGCCACATGTTCTGTAAGCAGAAATGGTTACGCTGGAAGAGGACCTAATCTGTTGCATTTATTAATAAGAAAAAAATAGAACTGTCTCTTTTTCTTTCACGTTTTCTTTGATTACATTGAACGAAGGTATCTTATCTACAGAGCAAGAAAATTCATATTAACAAAATGTCTTACGGTGATAATATGTTTTCTTCGTAGAGTCCCTGTTAATCCACAAAGTAATGAATATTAAAAACGCAGGAACAGAACGCCATAATCAGATTATAACAGAAACCAAAAACTGTACTAAAACGGAGAGAAAGATTAAAAGAACCCCAGGAGACACAATGGGGACACAAACAAAAATAAGAGAAAACTTCACAGGACAATTCAAGGGAGCGACAAAATAAATTTAAGAAGGATGCGGCTACGTAGAGAAAACATTTAGATAGAAAGAGTCGCTAATAATGTCGATCAATTCTCTTCCTTATGCACAGTGCCCCCTCAGAACGTAGGCGATCGTGGCTCTCCACATCTTTCTGTCCCTTGTAGCTCTTAACAAACTTTGTCTTTCTGTTATTTCTACTAGGACCTTTTAAGCCATCTATTGATTATGTCAGTGGGTGTATATATTTTCAGACTGGAGAAATTCAGTGATACACTTTTGCGTGTATCAATAAGCTGCATATATAAATTTATATATATATATATATATATATATATATATATATATATATATATAGTTTTAAGGTTTGCTATATTTATGGGATAAAGTGCTCAATATCAGAGATAGAGCGTGTGTAAATATAAAAGTGAACAGAAGTCAACACTTAGGCGACAATCTGTTTCATGCTAGATGCAATCGTCAGGTGATTGTATCTAGCATGAAACAAACTGTCGCCTCTAAGTGTTGACTTCTATGTTCACTTATATATATATATATATATATATATATATATATATATATATATATATATATATATATATATAGATACACCTAGTGAGCCAGACAAACCTACCTAGGTTTCACCTAAACGGATCGTCAGGGAAAGTTTGCCAAACTTTCCCTGACGATCCGTTTAGGCGAAATTTAAAATTTCAATAAATTGTTAACTTGATATCGTCTTTTCTTCGAAATTGGCCTTTTTATAGATTTTTTGCCAAATAAAAAATGCGGTTAAAGATAAACAAATTTATTGACAAAATTGTTACAATCATTATTGTTGGATTTAAAATGGAAATTGGAATAATATCTTTCTTATTTTAGAACGTATTTAATATTAGAAATCAAGAACCCAAAAAATATTTTGCTTAAAACTATTTAAAATACACACCCCTACTATCACCTGTAATTTACAGTAAAAAAAAATACGTATTATTTTCGAAAAAAAATATATATGCAATATATATATAAATATATAGATACAGTATATATATATATATATATATATATATATATATATAAGTATATATGCATTTTGTATATATATATATATATATATATATATATATATATATATATATATATATATATTGTCATCCACAGACAGACTGTTTCGCTGTTCCACAGCTCATCAATTTGGCTAGACATCCGACTGCCTCAAGCCAGGATCGAAGCCCGACTGATTTTGGTATCAGTCGGAGATTTTACCCATTGGCGCACGATGAAGGTGAATCTAGAGGCATTGACAAACACGCTAGTGAGCGTAGAACTCGTTTCATCTCATGGAAGATTCTTACATCAGCAGCAGTAATAGTCACTGTTTACCAATTCACTTCTCTTCATTCAAGACACTGGAACAAGAAATACAATCATGATCAGAGAAGTGCGTGGCTTCATTCAAGACACTGGAACAAGTAATGCAATTTTTATGATCAGAGAATGGCGTGGCTTCAATCAAACACTGGAACAAGAAATATAATCTTTATGATCAGAGATGCCTTTGACGAGGTAACAATTTTCCTCGAAGTAGACCTAGCAATATATTCAATATAATCACTCCACGGGATTATTTATTGAATGGTTGGTTTTCTACGACTTATCAACACTTTGCAGGTTATTTAAAGTCAGAAAATATGTTTTTTAGATTTTAAGATATTTTTTGTATGGAGACAATAACGTTTTAGTGGTACAAGTCTTACTAATTAACCCATAGTTGAGGAGTAACAGAGTTGGATTCATACTTTTCCCAATGGTACTTGCGCCTAAGTTGAATACAAGAAACGCGGCTAAATTTGGAACTCGGTTCTCCGATTAATAATTTCAAACCATTATCTATTACACTACCCGAATATCCAAGCTGGCAACACCTGCTATTCCCATGCGGGCACCCATCAACTTACTGACCATGCCCGACGTTACTTAACGTCGGTGATCGTACGAGAGCCTATGTGTCAAAGTGATATAACCGTATGTGATATAACTATCTTCTCTAGGAAATGAGAGAAAATATATGACAGGTATTTTTTAAATAAAACCTCGAATACTGTTCGGAATCACTTTTATCTGTTGTGCTTTAATATATTGCTAATGTTTGACATTACGATATGAAGTGGACAGGCCTTGGAAGAAACGTTTTCATTTTATTGGCACGTCGTCACTGTGACCGCAAGAAAAAGTTTCTGTTGAAAGTTAGTGATTTCTCGACCCCATACATCGCAGAAGTAATAATAAATAATAGTCACCCAATCACTTAACTAAAAGCAAGTCCATCCCGTCCCGCAACCTCTCACCCAACTGTTCCTCCTTGATTCACACATCGAATATTTGGTCTGCTTAGATCGCTTCGTAAGTCACGTTATCTTCATTTTGTTGACTTGAAATCAAATTGTGCCCACCTCTGTGATGATATTGAATATTTCCAGTCGTGTGGCTTCCGGTTTGATGGTTTCTATTCGTGTTTTACTTTGTTTCGTGATTCTTGAAAATGATTCTATTGTCTTGAATTCCTGTTTTTCTTCAATAGTTTCAGGAATCATCAAAACAAATAGATTTTTCCTGTAACTTCGGAAAAAGCAATGTACAAATAAAAAGCGAACCCTGCTCTATGGCAGTCACAGCATATCTGTCCTATGTCCCCGGTGGCGGGGGGGTCGATTTTTTTTTTCATTTTCATCAATGTTACTGTATATTGACTTATCAAATGAAAAGAAAAAAACAAATAAACTTGCTTTATTGCTTATAAGTACAAAAACCTGATGACTTCTATTCCAGAAACTGCAGTTTTTGATGCCATAAAAATTTCTCATACACAATCAAGATATTTCTTCCACGTTCTGTCACTATCGTCTCAGCTTCGTCCACAGCTTAAAAATATGTTAACATATTGAACAATGGCCTAGTGGCTATAAACCTTGATTTAGTTTATGCAGTTTAACTTTTGGTTATGAGTTCAATCCCTTTTTCGGGCATTAAAATCTATATACTCCGTTTTACCGGTGTTACAGAATGCGAAGACCAGGGCCAGTGCTTCGTGAGTGTGGTATACAAACAGGGACAGGTTGCCTTTTTCTGGCTTTTGAATATAAGTCAAAAATGGCGCGAATACAAGATAGTGTTGCAAGAATTTTGAGGCGTCGATATGCTTCCCACACCCAGGTTCGCCTTAAACTGTTTAAGACCACATGCGGAGAGACGCTAAACCAACAAGCGAGATGCGTTCCTGTGATTTGATTCCTCCCGCCGCCTCTTACAATCCAAGCTGCCACGTCCGACCCTCGCTTCTAATTAAAACGAATAAAAAAAAAAGAAATCGTCCTTTTCGTTAATAGCATTTTAAGTAGTAGCGTCAGTACATGAAACGCAACACTGGATCAAGTACATAAGGGTATTATACTACTATTTTATTATTTCAAACGTTATTTTTAGTGGATATCCGTATTTGAGTAGACGCCCCGTTTTATTTTAAACAGTATTTCTTGCATCTACCGGCCTGTAAAGTCAAGAAAACTTATTAAAGTAAATGTGCCGGTAGACGAATCAAAAACTGTTTAAAATAATGCGCACCCACTAAAAATAAAGTTTGAAATAATAAAAATGTCAGATTAAAAATTAAATCCATTAATTTTATACACACACACACACACACACACACACACACACACACACATATATATATATATATATATATATATATATATATATATATAAAATAAAAGGCTTAAACACTAATATTCCATGGTTATAATTTATTACATTGAGATCGTAATTACGATCCAATTGATCAGACCTACAAATTCAAGAATTAATTACGATTCCAATGTAATAAATTATAACCATGGAATATTAGTGTTTAAGCCTTTTTATTATATACTTACTCTGTCCTGGACATCGAGCTCTACTTCGATTCTATCCTCTTGGAATACATATGTATGTATGTATTTATATATTTTAGACATATATATATATATATATATATATATATATATATATATTAACCATATACGTATATATATTAACCACTAATATTATCTATCTATCTATCTATCTATCTTACTTATTATAAAACACAGATTGTGTGTGTGTGTGTGTGTGTGTGTGTGTGTGTGTGTGTGTGTGTGTGTGTGTGTGTGTGTGTGTGTCTGTAACGTTTATATTTTGGATCGAATTTCCTACATTTTTTAGCCGATTTCAACAAAACTTCACAGGACTACATAAAATTACCTTGTGGTGGTTCTAACGGGGCCGAAAAATGGGAAAAACACAGTTGTTTTTAATAAAATCATTTTGAAAACACGATTAAGACACATCGTGAGAATGAAAGGGGGACAACTCACCCACGAAAATGTAAACAAAAGAGCATAGCATGATGAAAAAGACGCCGAACTTGACGAAAACAAAATTTTATCGTCTAATGTTCATATTATTATTAAAGAGGAAAGATCAAAGTATTTTGGGGTATTTTTTTACATTTTTAATCGTTCCTAGCACGTCTGAAATTTTCGTTAAAATATTGTTTTTTTTTTGGTCAAAAAAGGACAGATAATCATTTTCAATCATTTTTTTCGATTTGATAAAAAAGATTAAAATCTTACTTTGATATTCTTTTAAAAATTTTATTAAAAGTTTTATTGTTGAAATATCTAGATGCAACCGTAAGTCCCATTCTCGCAGTTTCTTTTCTCGCACTTATCGCCTGTGGAAATCCCTTCCTGTTTCTTGCTTCCTAGCCAACTACGATCTTCAATCATTTAAATTCAGCTTCAATCGCCATTTTCTGTTTTCTTGAAACCTGCCCTTTCTCCTAACTAAAACCTTCTTATTCTCTTTCATTCCCTTTAAGCTCTTGCGTCTTAGTGGCATCATCGCCTTGCTTAGAGTGAAATTATCTGCGTGTCTTTAATGAACGGTAATTTATGTCTGATTTAGCTACAGTACTGGACTTATCCAATGAACATCTGTCTTAGGTCAGATGTTCCTGGGTGGTAAACACAACAAAATGAGACTAATAATCCGAAAAAATCGTCTAAAAATACAGCCATTTTACAGATATTATTTCTTTACAAGTAATATAGATTTCCCTATCAGTTTAATTACCGGAACAAACATCAAAGAAAAAAAAAAGAAAGGTTTGTATCCAACCCATCTTTGCTGCTAGTTAATTTCCCCCGGGAAATTTCTCCCGCCAAATGGAATGCGAAGCGCCCGGAAACAGATATGTCGTCTGTTACAATGAAACGCCAGACGAGGAATCTTATTACAAAATATACTCGAGTCAACGTTCATTTATGTATTATTTTTTGATTTTTTTATTTCGAGAGACGTTTTGTTGCGAAAACGATTGGGTGCTTCTTTGGACAAGAACCATTTGTATTTGATAGACATACTTTTTTATTCTTTTACGTATATAGATGCACATATATTGATTATTGGTTTATTATTGGAGAGTTGGTCTAAAGTCCACTGAGTGCAAACAGAGTTAAGATCGTCTTTCGATGACCTCATAGAAAGAAAGAAAGAAAGAAAGAAAGAAAGAAAGAAAGAAAGAAAGAAAGGGAAAAGACAACAAATGAAAGACAAAATAAAAAGAGACGAAGAACAGAACTTAAAAAAAATAAATCAATAAAGACAACAAAAGTGGGAAAAGGAAGAATGATAAAAGAAAGAGAAAAAAAAGATAGAAAAAGAGAATAAAATAAGTGGAGAAAAAACAAAGAAACTAAGGAAGGAGAAATCAACAAACAGCAAAAAGGGAGGAAAACTAAGGAAAGGAAACAAAAAAAGGAAAAAAATGAAAGAAATAAGGAAAAGAAAGAGAGAAATTAAAGAAAGAAAGAAAGAAAAAAGAAAGAAAGAAATGTGTCTGAAAGACGTTGAGGCAATAGAAAAGAAAGAAAGAAAGAAATGTGTCTGAAAGACGTGAGACAATAGAAAAAAAAGAAAGAAGGAAAGAAAGAAAAAGAAAATTAACAAAAGCAACAAAAAAAGAAAAATACAGCATAAGAAAGAGGTAAGACAAAGGAAAAAAAGAAAGAAATGTTTCTGAATGACGTGAGACGATAAAAGAAAAAGAAAGAAAGGAAGAAAAAGAAATAAAGAAAAGAGAAAGAAAAAGACAATGAATGTAAGGCAAAGTGGAGTGGCAAAGAAAGAAATTAAAAAAAAGAAATTAACAAAGGTAACGAAAAAAGAGAAAAAAGAAATCGAAAGAAACGGTATAAGAAAGATTTGAGACAAAAGAAAGATGTGAGACAAAAGAAAGAAAGAAAGAAAGAAAGAGAGAAAGAGAGAGTAATTAACAAAAACAACGATGAGAGAAAAGGAAAATGAAAGGAACGGTATAAGAAAGATGTGAGACAATGGAAAAGAAAGAAACAAACAAACAAACAAAGCAGGAAAGAAAGAAAAAAAGTCAGTGAAAATAAGAGAAAGTTGAGTGGCAAATTAAAGAGATTAAGAAAAAGACAACAACAACGAAAACAGAAAAAACGAAAAAAACAGCATAAGAAAGATGTGAAACAAGGCAAGAAATAGAAAGAAAGAAACAGGAAAGGAAGAAAGAAAGAAAGAAACAAGAAAGAAAGAAAGAAAGAAAGAAAGAAAGAAATATGTTTCATTATTATGAAGATTTTCTAAATTCTCTTTCTTTTTCTCTTGTGATCCTTTCTTTTTTCTACTTCCTTATTCCCCCCCCCCACATTTTTAGTTCAATTGTTTATTGTGCTGATAGGAAGGCAGGTGCGTATAATTGCGCTATTATCAAATATCAATGAATGAATGAACAGACGAAACAACAGGTGCTTTTCTCAATCCGATCCCTGTGTACACCAATTCTGAGATGATTTTTCGCAATCTCAGTAAACGCATGATTTTTCCAAGCGCCTGTATCTGCTGCGTTCTCTTCCGTACTATTAGCCTAGGAAAGGGCATGAATCCGTCTCGGCAACTATAGGGGAGTAGACTGGGCTCTGTAGCATTGGGTCGCAATCAGTCTAAAAAATATATAAAGCCTTTCAATTCCAGACCGTGGAGAAGACAACAAGGAATCACTCCACCATATTTCTTATGAACGCTTAATAACTGTCAAACTAATAAAGAGGATTTGTGAGGAGTCATGAATGCCTACGTCTTGAAGGCGTTGAAATAAAGGCTGTTCCAATAACTTGGATCGATTTTAAATGCGAATTAAGTTTAAGCGTCTAAGCGGAATATAGGATTATATGATTAACAGGATAGATCGATTATAATACGTGTCATGAATTGAAAACTTCAAAATTTAGTAATTACAGAAATATGACTATTTTGCAGACAACGGAAGATGTGACACGGACGCCCGAATACACAATGGATTACAAAAAGATGCCTTCCAAAAGCTAAATAAAGTATTAAGAAACATGAAATTTTTGTTAGAAAAAATAGTTTTGAAGTAATATCAATCTTCTTACATGTCAGTGAATGCTGAACAATTTTCTCACAAGCGAAAAGGAGACTTGAACCAACAGAGATGTGGTTTTACAAAAGGACTCCAAGAATACCTAGGACGGAGAATGTGAGCAATAGGGAAGTCTTAGGGAAAGTGGAAATATAAAAGATACTGTACATAAAGTCAGACAGAGAACGTTGATATTCTTGGATCACATAATGAAGAAAAAATGTCTTTGAGATTTTAGCACTGACAGGATATATTTAAGGTAAGTGGAACAGATTGAGGCAGCAAACAGAAGCATGGGAAGTTGTGGAGAGCTATAATCGCTCACGTTCTGTAGGCATACGATACATAAAATGTTTTATTAAATCCACTGGAAGAGATTTTTCTTGTTCTACTACCCATACGAGGGGAGATAACTCGTTTAAATTAAATTAATTCTTGTGATCTTCGGTAACTTGATAATACGAAAAGAATGGTGTAGTAAGCGGATGTATATTGTTTGAAGTTAAAAATGGATTAGAAGTTGTGGAGAGCCATGATCGCTCACGTTCTGAAGGGACACAGAACAAACGAAGATAAATGGTTTGGTTTGCTTAGGTTTGTTTTATTTTACGGTATATCAACCTCAATGTGTTATTTAATGCCGACAAGATTTTTATTGCTGGTAATATATTTTTTCTTTCACAATGTATTGTTGGTAATAGTGAATTGCTGGTAAAAATTATTTGCAAAAATATCTTGTTCAAAAATGTATTACTGGTAATTTTTTCTCAAAAAATTCATTGCTGGTATTAAAACCTATTTTTACACTTTCACAGTGCTTTGACACCAGGTTCCAGGTTAACTATTTTCCCATAGTTGGGACCCTAGCAGGTGCTACTACCCTGGATCAGTGTGGACCTGGGAACACCAGCAATTAAGAGGTGGTTCCTCACACCTCAGAACTTTCTGATCAGATGTCTTGCTGTTGGACGTAGTTTATCATCTTACCCATGACGCGGCTATAGTTTATCGTCTTGCCCAGGATGCGGGATGTAATTTATGGTCTTTTGGGGGTTGAGCTGGGACCCTCACAAGTGCTATCAGCCCGGGTCACTGTGGACGTAGAAACACCAGCAATTAAGATGTGGTTCCACGTTCTTCAAAAACCCCTGATCAGAGGCCTTGCTGTTGGCTGTTGTTTATCGTCATAACAAGGAGGCGGATGTAATTTATCATCATACCCAGGACGCGGATGTAGTTTATCGTCATACCCAGGAGGTGGATGTAGTTTATCGTCTTACCCAGGATACGGATGTAATTTATCATCATACCCAGGACTCGGATGTAGTTTATTGTCTTACCCAGGAGGCGGACGTAGTTTATCATCATAACGTGGACTCGGATGTAGTTTATCGTCATACCCAGGAGGATGACGTACTTTATCGTCTTACCCAGAACGTGGATGTAATTTATCATCATACCCAGGAAGCGGATGTAATTTGTCGTCATACCCAGGAAGCGGATGTAATTTGTCGTCATACCCAGGACACGGATGTAATTTATCATCATACCCAGGACTCGGATGTAGTTTATTATCTTACCCAGGACATGAATGTAATTTATCCTCATGCCTAGGAGGCGGGTGTATTTTATCATCATACCCAGGACTTGGATGTAGTTTATCGTCATACTCAGGACATGGATTTAATTTATCATCATACCCAGGAAGCGGATGTAGTTTATCGTCTTGCCCAGGACATGGATTTAATTTATCATCATACCCAGAACTTGGATGTAGTTTATCGTCATACCCAAGAGGCGGATGTAGTTTATCGTCATACCCAGGAGGCGGATGTAGTTTATCGTCTTGCCCAGGACACGGATGTAATTTATCATCATACCCAAGACTTGAATGTAATTTATCATTATATCCAGGAGGCGGATGTAGTTTATCGTCTTACACACGACACGGATGTAATTTATCATCATACCCAGAACTCGGATGTAGTTTATCATTTTACCCAGGAGGCGGATGTAGTTTATCGTCATACCCAGGACTCGGATGTAGTTTATCGTCATACCCAGGAGGCAGATGTAGTTTATCGTCATACCCAGAACAGGAAGATAAATGACCACTCTCATATCGGAATTAAACGTATTAAGCTCGCTATATTAAAGGCAGAAATCATCAACATATCGTGAACAGAAACAGAGTTTATATACTTGCTTTCTTTTTCTCCGTTGTGGATCTGCATTTCTTTGTTTGCATTTTATAATTTTTATTCAAATTTTGCCTGGAAGAAGTCGAAAACTTCAATACTTTCATTAGATTTGTTCAGGCGCCATTTTCATTGTTTGCTTTTAAACTGTTGTGGCCATGCCACGTCAATGAAGACTGTAAATATGAGTGAATAAATGAATGAATTGATCTCCGCTTTGGGGAGGCTGTTGAATATTACTTCGCTTCGAATGGGGAAAGACAGAATATAAGTAAAGAAAAAAAGTGAGTAAAATGATAGAGGGAAGCTAAAAAAGGAAGAAAAAGACCAGAGAAAGTGACGAGGAGGAAAAATAAAATAAGAAAGAAAAAGGAATTAGATAAAAAAAGAAGAAAACATAGCCAATGATGTTTTGAAAGAAAGAAAGAAAGAAAGTTTACCGCCAGACATTGGAAATTGTTCTGGTAGATTAAAAAAGAAAGAAAGAAAGAAAGAAAGAAAGAAAGAAAGAAAGAATTGAAACGAAACGAAACGAAGTAAAGAAAGAAAGAAATGAAGCTAAACGAAACGAAGGAAAAACTGAGAGGAATAAATAAAGAAAAACAAAAAATAAAATAGGAGGGAAGAAAGAAAGAAAGAAAGAAAGAAAGAAAGAAAGAAAGAAAGATAGAAAGAGTAAAGAAAATTAAAAAGAAAGAAATACTGTGAGTAATAAAGAAAGAAAAACAAAGAAAAAACGCGAAAAGAAAGACAGAAAGAAAGAAAAGAAAGAAGAATGAAAAAGAAAGAAAGAAAGGAAACGGAAGAAAGAAAGAAATGAAACGAAACGAAGGAAAGACTGAGAGAAATAAATAAAGAAAAAGAAATAAGAAAGAAAGAAAAACTAAAGAAAACTAAAAAAAGAAATACTGTAAGTAATAAAGAAAGAATAAACAAAGAAAAACGCGAAAAGAAAGAAATAAAAATGAAAGAATAAAGAACACAAAAAGAAAGGAAAAAGAAAGAAAGAAGGCGGAAACATAAACGATAGAAAAGAAATGAGAAAAATAAAAACAGCAAATAAACAAAAAAGAAACACTGAAAGGAACAAATAAAGAATGAAAGAACATTAAAAGGAGAGAAGAAAGAAAGAAACGGGAAGAAAAAGAAGAAAATAATGAAAAAATAAAAAAGAAGAAAGAAAAAGGAAAGAAACAATGAAAAAAGACTAAGATCAAAAGCAAAAGAAAATAAAAATGGCTGAGTGAAAGAAAGCAAAGATAAACTAAAGGAAAAGGCTAAAAAATAATAATTAAAAATTATTTATGAAAATTTTAATTGATCTGCTATATTCATACCGGGAGGAAATTTTCAATTTATAAAGATAATAAGACTATCCGTTCAAGTAAATACTCCACCTGGAATTTTTTCCGAGTATAATAAACTAAAACAGAATAATTGTTCCGGGGAGGAAACAATTTTAAAAGTAATAAGCTTGCTGTACCCAAAAAACACATTATAAATGTGGGGAGGCGGTAAATGAAGGGATTAATTTAATCATGGCGGCACTAGTAATTATATTTGGTACACCTGAGAATATTGATGTGCGCATTCATGTGTGAGAAAGGTGAGAAAATTGACAGTCAGTTACTAAAACCACCTGAAGACAAATATTAGCTTGACTGATGTTATAATCAGCTATATATTTGTTGATTATAAGATCAATCAGTTAATATTTCTATGCTATATATATGCTCCTGAAAAAATTATTTCGGTTGAGCTCTCTTGGGAGAAAGTGTGAGTTTGTAAACAGCGATTATTACTGCTAATAATGCAAGACTCTTCGGTAGAGCTAATTGAGTTTTCTCAGTGTGTTTATCCAAAAATAAATACGCTTAAATTCACCTTAATCCATGCCATGCGCCAATGGCTTGGGTGTATAATCTCCGACTGACGCCAAATCAGCCGGGTTTTAATCCTAGCTAGCAGCCTGTCTGTGGATGACTATATATATATATATATATATATATATATATATTAATGGTCACTAATATGGAATTCGTTAGGCATTTCTTTGTGAGAAGGAAATTCTTTCGTCTCGAGAAGAAACATATTAATCTGAAGAAGTTACTTCAAGCAACGAAAGGTTTTACAGACTTAACTATTATATATATACATATATATATGACGTCACACATTATGAAAATGGACAAAGTCCGACAATCGATATTGTCGGATTTTGTCCATTTCATAATGTGTGACGTCATTTGTTTACATTTGGATACACATTGAGCAGATATGAATGTACGTGAGAGATTCATGGAAGATTGTAGTTTAAAAGCCGTAAAATCGACCTTGCTAACCGAACACTCAAACGTGACTCAATCCGTTAAGGCACTTCAGGCTATATGACGGTTCCGTATAGGATACAGGTTCGATTCCTGTCGGAGGGCGCATATTTTCTATGAAAATTTCTCGGACATTCAGGCCGGTAAATGTTGTTAATACTGTTTATTATAAACAGAGCATTTACTTAAATATTTGTATCTATAAAAAGAATATATAAGCATTTAAGACACACATATATATATATATGTATATAAATAAATTCCCCGTGAACAGTGACCGGTCACAACTAAATGTTTCATTCGTTTTCACGAAATCATCAAGTAGTTCATTGAGAATTTATTTAGAAATAATAATGCTCTGCCATTTTATATGGAATTTATCCTTGTATCTTACAGATATCATTCTGAGTATGAATATAGTTTTATTTGTACCAGTGACTTTAAAGAGACCGCACTATTCTGGTTGTATTTCGAGTCTAATTCCACCGCACGCTCTATACACCAGAATTCGGATGATAAGTTTTGTTATGTGGCTCATTAGGCTGCATCTTTCACTATCCCAATCTGCCTTCGGATTTCAGTGTCACATTTTCTATTTATATTTCTGAGATGAGGTGTTGTAACTATTTACATTGTTCGGACTTTTGTCCTCATATTTATTAACATATTGCCTGGGGGATAAATATATCGTTCGCTTCAAAATTTCACCAAATGAAGGCCGGAATGCACAACGATCGTAACGTCGTGAATATGACAAAAAAGATAAGGACAATACTTCGAACAATGTAAATAATGTAAATATTTCCGAGACAGTTAAGTCTTTCTATTTGTTTGATTTTGATGTTTTCTAATCTGTTGCGTACATGATGGACTGTTCCTTTTTCTGACAACCAGGCATTCTCTCTTCTTACAACTAATGTTTCAGCCATTCTTCTTAATAATGGCTGAGGGGGCGATCCTGGCGTACAGTATTGCTGGAATATGTCCGGAAAATTATATGACAATTGATCGAAGCCTTTTGAGTGAATTTGGATAGAAGTAATTCGTCGATCTTTGTGCGTGTAGCTTTAGGGATCGAATTGCAGAATAGGCCATAGTTTGGTTCTTTGAATGTGTAAGAAACATAGGTGTAACAGACGGGTATACGCGGAAGTCAACAATTTACTTTATATATGATGTATGTATATATACAGTAGCGTCCAAAACTAAGGGACAAAATTTTAAAACCTAATATTTGTTAGAATAACAACTATTTTGCCAGTATCATTGTAGGATTTAACAACCCTGCCTACAACACTCTTGGAACGTTTCACTTTCTCTGAAATCTCTCTAATGGTGTGCTTTTCCTTGTGTAGCTTCACAATAGCTTGTCTCACAGAGTAATCAAGTTTTTGGCGTTTCGCCATGGTGCCGGCTGATGCAACGTTTACAAATGACTAAGTAAGACTTATTCTTTAGAGGAAATCAAAAAATTTGAATATAGCATACTGTTTACATTGTTTTTCTCAATTTTGTCCCTTACTTTTGGACGTTCCAAATTTGAAAATAAATAAATAATTGTTATAATTCTTTTTCTATCCTTTGCAAATGATTCAAATTTTTAGTATGTTATTATGGATGATAACGACTACCAGTTGTCAAAATTTCTGCTTTTCACAGTTGTTATTTCTAACAACAAATATTAGGTTTTAAAATTTTGTCCCTTAGTTTTGGACGCTACAATATATATATATATATATATATATATATATATATATATATATATATATATATATATATATATACGTACAAGACGGCGCCTAGCATGCAATCAAATGAAATGTTGTAAATTTTGTGGACGTAATAAGTTTAAATTCTGGTGAGTTGTTTTTTTGTTGGAGGGGGTCGCATATTTGAAAGAAGGTGTATATTATGAATATGACGTGATGGAAAAATAGAAAATAAAAAATCTCTACATATCAAAAAAGTTATGTCTGGCAAGATATAAATTTACAGTCCAAGAAAGTGGAAGAAAGAAAGAAAGAAAGAAAGAAAGAAAGAAAGAAAGAAAGAAAGAAACTAACAAGGAAGAAATAAAAAAAAAAAAAAGAACGAAATTAGAAAAACGAAATGAGAAAGAAAGAAAGAAAGAAAGAAAAGAAAGAAAAAAAACTAACAAGGAAGAAATAAAAAGAAAGAACGAAATTAGAAAGAACGAAATGAGAAAGAAAGAAAAAAGAAAGAAAGAAAGAAAAAGAAACTAACAAGGAAGAAATAAAAAAAAGAAAGAAAGAACGAAATTAGAAAGAACGAAATGAGAAAAAAGAAAGAAAAGAAAAGAAAGAAAAGAAAAAAAGAAACTAACAAGGAAGAAATAAAAAAGAAAGAAAGAACGAAATTAGAAAGAACGAAATGAAAAGAAAGAAAGAAAAGAAAGAAAGAAAAGAAAGAAAGAAACTAACAAGGAAGAAATAAAAAAGAAAGAAAGAACGAAATTAGAAAGAACGAAATGAGAAAGAAAGAAAGAAAGAAAGAAAGAAAGAAAAAGAAACTAACAAGGAAGAAATAAAAAAGAAAGAAAGAACGAAATTAGAAAGAACGAAATGAGAAAGAAAGAAAGAAAGAAAGAAAGAAAGAAAGAAAGAAACGGAAAAAGGAAGAAACGAAACCAAAAAAAAGTAGAAAGAAAAAAAGAACGAAATGCAAAAAGAAAGAAAAAAGAAAAATAAAGAAATGTCAACTAGGGTTGCAGTGGCTCAAGGAAAAATGAAATATATATAAATATATGTGGTTATGTACGTGTGGGGGGATGTTTCTGTGTCTGTGTCTTTGTATATATATATATATATATAGATAGATAGATAGATAGATAGATAGATATAGACATATATAGATAGATATATACATATATATACACGGTACCAGACGGCGCCAAGCCCGAAGTCAGATGAAATGCTGTAAATTTAGTGGAAGCAATGATAAGCTTAAATTGTAGTCAGTTGATTTTTTTTTCACATATATGAAAGAAGCTGGATATTATAAATATGACGTGATGTAAAAGTTTAAAAACATCGGAGAAAATACATAAACTATGTTTGGCAAAATTTAAAAAAAAAAAAAGAAAATGGTGGAAAACTCGTTGAAATATATCTATAAAATTTATCACATAGCTGTGACGGAACGAAAAGAAAGAAGAATGAAATAGAAAGAAAGAAAGAAAGAAAGAAAGAAAGAAAGAAAGAAAGAAAGAAAGAAAGAAAGAAAAAGAAACAGATAGAAAAAGAAATAGTGAAAGAAATTAAAAGGAAAAAGAAAAAATGAAAGAAAGGAAAAGAAAGAAAGAAATGAAAAGAAAGAAAGAAAAAAGAAAGAATGAAAGAAATGAAAAGAAAGATAAAAGAAGAAATAAATGAACAGAAGAAAGAAAGACATATAAAGAAGAAAGGAAGAAGTGAAAATATTTAGAGCAATAAAAAATAAAGATGAAAGAAAGAAAGAAAGAATCAATGAAAGAAAGAAATCAAAAAACAGAAAGAAAGAAAAATAAAGAAAGAGAGAAAGAAAGGAAAGTAATAAGAAAGGAATGAAAAGAAGAAAGAAAGCTACGAAAAAGTAAAGACAGAAGGAAATAAAAAGAAAGAAAGAAAGAATCAATGAAAGAAAGAAATGAAAAGACAGAAAGAAAGAAAAAGAAAAAGAAACAAAGAAAGAGAGAGAGAAAGAAAGGAAAGTAATAAGAAAGAAATGAAAAGAAGAAAGAAAGCTACGAAAAAGTAAAGACAGAAAGAAATAAAAAGAAAGAAAGAAAGAATCAATGAAAAAAAAAATGAAAAGACAGAAAGATATTATATCCCGGTTGCAGTTTGGAAAGAGAAGAATGAGAAACATTTTGCAAACAGAATTTACGTTAGCTTAAAATGTCTGATTTTATCAACTGTTTTCGAAATTTTTTGAGACAGATGCTGATGGCGTGTGGGTGCTGTAAAAGAAAATGAAAAAATTTCCACAAAAGAAATTTCCACATTGAGAATTTTTTTATATATATATAATTTTTTTTTCTGTTTTCTATTTTTTTTTTTCGTGTGTGCGTGAGTGTGAAGTAGATTTTTTTTTTTTTTTTTAGCCTTTACACTTGTCTTCGTTACTTTTCGTGATTTACCTTTTCTTCTAGTGACTGAGAAACATTAAGGATTCTCCCGGCTATTTTTACACTTCTTGACAATTCTTTTAGTTCTTCGAATGGTCAGTGCCTATAGGCCTCCACTACACTAAACCCCGCTCCACCCTTCTATATTTCCCAAAACAAGAACAACGCCCTCCTTGAAAAAAAAATATCTAAAAAGTGATTAGGAACTGATTTAGAGCGAAATAAATTTACCAAGAAGATAAATGCGTATTTTTCAAAACAGGAATAAAAAAAACGCGATTTTTCCACTTGCTGATCTCCACTGTTCAGAAGACGCGCTTCTCAGTCCAACACTCTACCTACTTTACATAAACGATCTGCTTTAAGATTAAACTCCGAACTTTTTGTGAATGTCTATGTTGATGATACAACGGCATAAGGTGCACCTCGAAATTCTAGATGCCCAGGGCCTGGCGGCTAATTTCTCCTATAACCGAAATCTGTAGAAGAAAATCTGGTTGGTCCAATACCTCGAAAACCAAATCATTGACGTTCAAATATCAACAAGCAGACCCTGAATTTTACTTGTCTGTCGACGATGGCATTAGGGACGACATTGTCCCTGAATGTTGGTTTAATATTGGATAACTATAGAATGTTGCTGTAGAAGATTAATTTCCCACAGATTATGACTGATATTTTGTATAAATATAGATCCATCAGTCACCTCAGTGTCATTAGCAAACATTGAAGCTATAATCAACAAGAACTTGGTTGATCACGTCAACAGTGACAAGCAGTACACATTTCGATCAGCTCGGTCCACTGCTGATATCCTAACTGTCGTTACTGACACAATCAGGGAAGCGCTAGATAACAAATACATCTCAAGGACGATCACAATAGATATTTCAAAGGTATTTGACAAGGTGTGACATAGAGGGTTATTGCATAAGCTCTTTAGCTATGGAATCACTGGAAGAGTCTTCTTAATTATCAAGTCTTTCTTAATGAGTAGTTCCCTGAAGGTAGTTGTTGATAGCTTTTCCTCCGAGGCTCGTTTCTTGGTCCAACACAGGATCCTGATATCTGTCATGTTATATCACAAGTTCTAAAACCCATTAGAGTCATATAAAACCACGTGCACTGCAACAATAACCTGACGGAGCCCATCCTTCAGGCTGCTTTTCAATTCAATTTTTTCATTCACAACGCGGGCGTCTGACAAAGCTCACTTCTCGGTCCAATACTCTATCTACTTTACATAAATAATCCTCTTTAAGAGTAATCTCCGAACTTTTTGTGAATATCTATGTTGATGATTCAATGGTACAAGGTGCACCTCCAAAATTCTAGTTGACCAGAGACTGGCGGCTAATCTCTCCTGTGACCGAGATCTGGAGAAGAAAATCTAGTTGGTTGCATTCAATGTTTCGAAATCCAAACTAGTGACGCTCAAACATCACCAAGCAGACCCTGAATATTACTTGTCTGTCGCAATGAACTGTCAGTGCCCATACGCCTCCACTAGACCAATTCACCTACCCTAATATATCAGGTCACCCCATAAGTTCTGTCCGAATTTTAACTTTTTGTTAAAATGAACGAAATTTAAAGAGTATTTTATAATGTCCAATGGAGCTGAACATTATTTTTATGTTTAGATGCATTTAAACTGATCAAATTTCATTTCAGAGAACAATAAAATTAAATTTTGTTTGATTAAAACCCTGCTAACATGGAAGTACCCAAGAATCATTTGAGGCACATAATGCTTTATGAGTTCAAGAAAGGAAACTCAGCAGCCGAAGCAGCTAGAAACATTCACTTAGTTTATGGAGAGGAATGTGTGAATGAAAGAACTTGCAGAAGATGGTTTGCAAAATTCAGAGGTGGAGATTTCACCCTTTAAGATGAAGATCGAACCGGATGTCCATTTGAGTTTGATGAAAAGCTTCTTGAAGCAGCCCTTGAAGAAAATCCTGCTTTATCAGTTGAGGAATTGGCAGTGGTTCTCAGTTCAAACCATACAACTGTTCATCGTCATCTTCAACAACTTGAAAAAGTTCCTAAACTTGGAAAATGGGTGCCTAATGAATTGTCTGAAAACAACCTCAAATCCCGAGTTGACATCTGCTCTTCTCTCCATTCTCGCCAACTTGTTTCACCTTTTTTGGATAGACTTGTGACTGGCGACGAAAAATGGATCTTTTATCGAAATGTTAAGCGTCGTGGACAATGGCTTGGTAAAGGAGAAGGACCTCAGCCACAGCCGAGGAGGGAACTTCATGGGCAAAAGCTTCTTCTTTCAATCTGGTGGGATCGCCAAGGAATAATCCACTTTGAATTCTTACCACCTAATGCAACAATTAATGCTCAAATATACTGTCAGCTATTAAAGCGTTTGAACCAAGCTTTGAGGAAAAAAGACCTGCTCTAGTGAATCGAAAAGGGGTGATGTTTCATCAGGACAATGCGCGAATCCACACAGCAAGAATCACGTCACAAAAGATCGAAGAACTTGGTTGGGAGAAAATTCCTCATCCACCTTATTCTCCCGATCTTTCTCTACCATTCGTTTCGTAGCTTACAGAATCATTTGGAAGAAACAGCTTTTGTAACACAGGAAGAGTTAAAACTGACATTTGTGAGTTCTTCGAATCAAAGCCAAAAAGAATTTTACAGTAATGGAATTAGTAAGCTTGTTAATAGATGGAAGGAAGTCATAGATAATCAGGGAAAATACATTGTTGATTGAATCTGAAATTAAATGTAACATTTCATCACTTGTTTTCTTTATTCAAAATTCGGACAGAACTTAAGGGATGACCTGATATTTCACAAAACCAGGAAGACGTCCTCCTTAAAAAATATATATAAAAAGTGATTATGAACTGATTTAGTGCAAAATAAATTTACCAAGAAGGTAAATGCTTGTTTTTCAAGACGAATAAAAAACACGATTTTTCCACTTGCTGATTTCCATTGATCAGAAGACTTGCTTCTCAAACACTTTATCTAGTTTAGATAAATGATCTGCTTTAAGAGTGAACTTTTAGTGAATATATATGTTGATAATAAAACGGTATCAGGTGCGCCTCCAAAACTCTAGATGGCCACAGCCTGGTGGATAATCTCTCCTATGACCGAGATCTGTACAAGAAAATCTGTTTCGTCACATTTAATATCTCGAAAACCAATCTAATGACGAAGTAGACTGAATTATACTTGCCTATCGCGAGTGTTTCACTCAGGGAGCTCCCGAGCCTTGAGCTCAACCCAGACCTTCAGTGAAATTCATACATACTATCCATCGCTGAAGATGCTGTGAATATTATCTGGTCCCTGTACTGTCTCCGGTAAGTATCTAAATACACCTGCTTCTCCTCTGCCTTTACAAGAGTCAGATCAGACCGAAAATGGAATATTGCTGCTATAGATGAACAGGTGTTGGCTTGCATTTTCTTTCCAATCTCCAGACCAAAAACGTCTACGCGATCTTGTGGATGATTAATTATTTTCCACCCTAAAACAACTTTGCAACAGACGCAACGTTCCAAGCATCTCGCTCCGAAGACTTTCCATGAAAATTCATGGAAAGTCTTCGGAGGAACTAAATTTATTAGTCTCGCATTCATGCATAAAACTCGCCATGCCACGCCCATTGCAGCGAACCACCCTCATTCCCTTCGTATTGTTGAGATGTACGTTCCACTCGAATACCTTCTTCCTAATAACCGTAGTGAAAACGACTCCCAAGAGGATGCTTCCCCGATCACTACAATCTTAACCTGTACAAATCTAGGGTTAACTGCTATGTTCCCACATATCCTCATAAAATGTGAACATTACTTCTTACTCTGTAACTCGAAAGGTGTAAAAAATTGTCCTGTTATAGGAATTTTTTTTATTTTCCAAAAACGGTCAGCACATTGTGGCCGTGTTCATAGTTGATGTTATTGAGTTTTGACTTTTTCTTTTTTATTATTAAAGTTACCATTGTTTTTAGTCTTTTTTTTTACATGTGGATGAGGCTATTATACTTTCATTTTCTACAAGTATATTGTGGATGGAGTTTGGTAGGTTTCCATGTATGTTTAAATGAATCCTAATTGAGCTATGGTTAGAGAAGTGTAACATGAATCTTCTTGATAGACATGTAGTGGTATGCCCAATTATTCCTGAATTTGGTTTGATCAGGAATACAGTTCCTTAAGGGGCAAGTGAATTCATAAACAATATTAGTTCTCTGGAATTTAGATCTTGCAAGGTGTGTTATTGATAAATAAATAAATAAAATATTTACATTTTTCCGACTATTGTCCTCATCTTTGTCGCCATATGTGTCGCCATATTTATCACAACGTTTCGGCCTTCTTCAGGTGGTTGGAATGTCGAACTGAACCCTTTATTGCGTTCATTGGGGTAGACTGCTCTAGTTCCACGTGTCATGTTTGATGGATGTCAGTTATCAGTTATCTCCTGTTAATTTCCGTCTGAAAGTTCTCCACTGCCTTAACCGGGTATTGAACTCACACTCTTTGGGTCCTGACACTGGATCTAACCAACGCCTTTATCCATGTCATTGAGTAAATCTGGGTATGAATTTCTGGGTATTATAAACCTAATGTCTTCAGCAACCATTTTTACCAGTGCTCATATTGCAATTTTGCTGTTATCATTGCATGTTTTTTTACCAGAGCTCATATTGCAACTTTGTTGTTATCATTGCTTTTCTCTGGCACTCCTTATTACTAGTTCC